AGGTGTAGTAAGTTAACAATAACCCATTTCATATATAGCAGGGTTCATTTATTGCCTCTGTGTACTGACCTGTAGGAGTCTTTGGGGTCTGGCTACTCAGTTTCTGGTTTGAAGAATTTGCTCAGTGTATATATTTTTATTTATGTAAAACCAGCAATTCTATATTTTTCATGTAAATGGTGATCTTGGCCAAAACATTAATTTCCATTTCCCTTAGAAAACCCACATCTCAGGCTCTAATCCTGTCTGTGAAGAACGAAGCATCCTTCTGTTTGTTCCAGCTTTCAACACAAGCTGCTGCATCACAAGGCAGAGCATGAATGTTGATAAATCCCACCCATGACACAGCATAGTCCAACCAGATGTTAGCCAGTGTTTCAAGCTCTCCCAGTTGTATCACATATCCTGTTACAGGAGGTGGTCTTCTTAAAGTCCCACCTATTGGAATCATGCCATTATGTGAGAAATTCCATTTTCCTTAACAAGAAGGTATTGTTTTTAGTTGAAAAAAAACAACTAATCCAAGAGTAGTCCAATGATGAAAGAAACATATCTCAAAATGGATTTTTTCAAAAAAAATTTTTAATATACTTATATTGAAAAATGCCTCTGTCTTACCGCTTCTGCTGCAGGAAGCTTGCCTGTTGCTGCTCCAATGAACAAAAGTAACTTGAATAGTTTTGGACCTCATTTATATCACGTGGATATTTGAACAGAACAGAAGTGGTGTTGTATAGAAACATCCCACCCCAGAGCAGCAAATGAAACAGATCAAACTGAATATTTTAAAGTACTACTTTTCCAAAAGAGCCAGTAAAGAAGAAAAACCGTCAGTGAAGAAACTGAGAACTTTTTGTTCAACTGTAACTTCATAACCACTAAAAAAATGTTCATTAAGATGTAAAACCATTACTGTGGTTAAGACAGCTGACTATGGAAATAGAAAGAAATCTCCATTTTAAAAGTTAAAAAATGAAAGAATAGTGAAATTTTGAGTGGTTAATAATCTTCTACTTCATGGAAGCATCTGCCATATCACATCAGCAGAATTAATGATACCCAATGAAGTTTTGTCCCTTACATGAACTCTTCCTTGCTCTGTCCCTCCAGTAAACAATAAAAAATTTTAAACTGACACAGGGACAATTTTTACAACCCCCTTCCCATAGTTACTAAGATCTTTTATCAGTAACTGTTATTTCCTCAAACATACCACAGTTCCTCACCATTCCCCTTTGGTATACAGTATAAAAGTACCCTTAAATAAGACTATTCTTTTATCAGTCAAAAAAACATTCACAGAAAATGATAACAAAGTCATGTAAGTGCTGAATGTATGCCTGTAGAAGTACAGGAATAATTATGCCCAAGTGATGCTCAGGAATCTGCAGGATCAGCAGAGTATGGTGCTGTGTATTTGTAATTCTTTCCTCATTTTCTGCAGCTCAAAATTTTTCTCAATTTCACCTCTTCCCCACACCTCCCTCCCAGCCATAAGCCTGCATTCAAAATTTACATTACCTTCCAAGGATGGAAGCTAGCTCAAAGTACCATTTATGTGTTCAAGCAAGCATCCACTTTACAAATGTCAAGAATAAACTGGGTTTAGGAATGCATAAAACCATCTGTTATACACCAGCCATCTTTGGTTTGGATTTCATGATATAACTTTTGGCTATATCATCTGATCCTATTTATGCCTCTCCTAGAAGCAGAGCTCTTTAGTCATGGTTCAGACTGTTCCCATCACAGGGAAAACTGATGCATTTTCTGGTTTATTTTTCAGGGCTCACTCCCCAGCAATAGCTTTTGTCTAGCGAAAGGAAGAAGCCAGTCATAGCTTACCTTCCGACATACTTTGCCTCCAAATCTCACCCCAGCCCCTCACATACATACTTATACGCTTTGGAGCTGCAAAGCCTGAAGTCAGTACCCAGACAGGAATTGTATCAAACCAGTTCAGTTAGTTAGGAGTTACCTGGCCAATGCAAATGTTGGTTATTGAAAAGCAAGAAATTAGGCCCAGAGGAATCTTGAGGAGGTCAGGAGCTTAGGAATGATTGGAATAGGTCAACAAAAGTCTGCTCTTGCATAGCCTAGGGGTCCTTGATTATTCTTTTTTTTTTTAATTTGGTAAAGATCTGTGGAAAACAGGATGAATGGATTTTCCGTACAGACCTCAAGGCCTGGCTAAGTAGTGAGTTCAGATTCACATGTTCCTCCAAAGAGTGGGGAATCTGAATATTTCACAGGAAAATCTCTAATGATGGACTAAAATCATCATCTAAAATGATGGACTACTCATTGCCTACTCATAGAGTAGCCAGGTAGGATACTTTTGTCACACGTTTTTCTGTATCAGCTAGAACTCTGATAATTGAAAATGGCAAGGAGAAAAATACTTCAGATAAAAAAGTGGACAAAAATGGAAGAATATTGAGGGGGTGTTTGTATGCATATGCCATTGTCTTTGATGCAGGTAAGTATACCTGTGAACGTCCACTCAGATGCAGCCAGGCACTCACTACTTCTTTTTCACAAACAGGCTGACATATGTCCTGTCTGGATGAAGGGGCACATCAAAAGAGACTCCTTCTGAACCTCACCAAGCAGTATGGTCTCATTATTTGGCTGTCCAGGTAAGATTCTTAGTTATGTTTTTAAACTCCCTGTTCTAATAAGCAGAGTTCTGAGACCAAATCCTTTTGCCTTTGCTTTCCACATTCTTACCAGAAAGAGTCAGGATTTCCTCTTTATTGCATTTTTCTGGGTTGTACGCTGACCTAGACTTTGTGCCTTTCATATTGGTACTGCTGTGATTCGACAGAAAACTATATCGGACTTGCATACGTCAACTTGGTCATGGCAAGATGCTCTCCAAGCACAGAGCTGAAGGTCCTGGAGGGCAGCACAGGTCATCAGGGGAATGGGAATTCCCTGAGGTCTGGGCTCTGCACTCTTCAGAGCTAGCTACTATATGGACCATATGGAGATAGGTATAAATATCATCTCTGTGGGCACTTAGGCTCCACTCGCCCCTGTGGTGCCAGATATAGATTACAAGAGTATTAATGTCAATAAAATCTGAACTGAAATCCCACTTTTGTCTTAACTGCTACATCTGCTGATTGGAGTGCACCTATTACCCTGGCAGAAAATTCAAAACAGGAACCTGGCTTAGAACAAAAATGACAATGTGTACCTACATAACATTTAGCTCAGGGAAGGCTGCTACAGTGGTAAGGAAAGCCAGAGAAAATTAAGCACTGCAGAAATAAAATGAGGTTGGAAAAAGTAGCTACTGTTGATGAAGAGAAGTTCAGAACAGCCAGAGAATTTGGGCAAATTAATTTCCAATAGGATAATTAATAAACATCATACCAGGAATTATTTAAGTGCAGGAGCAAACACAAAATATTGCTATTGCCATATGTGAGATGATGGTTTCTGCTCTGCTCTCCTGTAACCTTCACTAATCAGGCAATTTAGCGACTTGCAGCTTATTTAGGGCAGAATTCTTCACTGGTCATTACAGGCTGAATGTCTCAAGGAAATGCTACTATACTAAGAGGGGTTAGTCCAGGTGGATGCAGAAGGCCTAACCATGGTCAACTTAGCTGCCTGAAATTAAGCTGAATTGGGATATACAGAGGTTCTGCGGTAACACAGATTCATAACCAGCTGTGGTCAGAGGTCATGGGCTTGTTGATACAGGTCCAAAGCATCTCTTCACCCAGAAATGATAAACTTAGAAAATCATTTAATAGAGCTGCTTATAGATTGCTTTAAAAAACTGAGTTCTTGGTCCCAGTGTATAGGAGTTGTCAAAGAAAAGAAGAAGAAGAAACAGCTGATTCCTGATTAGGAGTCAGACACATGATTCAGGGGATATCTGAGCTACTACTTGCTGTGGTGGAAAAAAATTGCCCTGGATAGTTATTCTTGCTTTGCCAGGGTAAATTTATTGAAAGACTTCACAGCTTGTACAAGTGGATGTGTGGGTCAAATCTATTTTTACCAATCATGGAACACATTTCTCTAAGCAGGCTGCACTTGATTAGGCAGAAATTCAGTCATTTTGCAGTGACATCAGATGTGTGATCTTCGACCATTTTTTATCCCCAAAACACCAGGTTAGTGGAAAATTAGGGGAAAAATCTCAGACTGATGTCAGAATACTGAAACACCTTCAGCAAAAGGTAGCATCAGATGCTACTTTTACTTAATGCGCTACAATTGTAGGTTAACACTGAGAGAGCAGTTAGCACCTCCAAATGCTGGCAAATTGAGAATGTGAATGTTTATTTGTACAGTTGGAGGTGGTGCCAGATGAAGGGGCAAGAGGGGAAAAGTGAACCAAAAGAGCAATGAGATTTGGTGTTTTGGGAGCTGCTGCCACCGCAGGAACATGGCATAGAGGGCTGTGGGGTTTGGGTTCACAGTTATGGAGCCAAGAAGATAGATTCACAGCTGTGAAACAGAGACACATGCTGCCAAGTTTTTCGGTCGTAAGGTGAAATTTTGATAGCAAAGAGTCACAGTAGTATGCAGTAGCTGAGAATGCTGAAATTGTTTTAAGCTCCAACAGCTTTGTGTGTCAGCTACCATTTAGTGAGTGAGAGTGTCAAAGAGGTGCAAAGAAAACAGGATTTGAAACTAGGACTAGCTTTTTGTATAAACACGTACAGGAGAAGCTGTCAAAGTCGTTACAGCTACCTTCTGCAAATAAGTAACATTGCTGGAAGTGAAAAGGTGATTGGTAGCATCTCTGAACCACATCACAGCAGCTCTAACTAGACAAATAGAAGACTTGATGGATTTTAATGGTGGCCCCCTGAGGAGGAGAGCTGAGAAAGCAAGTGTTGGCATGAGCACATAGGCTTTCTCAGAAGGACAAAACACAGGGTCAGAGGGGAAAGGTTCATCTTCTCATCGCTGCTTTCTAACATGTAGCCACTTCCTGTTTCTTCTGAGAACGGTGAATAAGAAATGAACTTGAATTTGGGCAAAGCTTCAAGGTTTTTATTGAATGGTACATAACTAATAAACAAGATTATACACTGTTGGTATTTTCATGGAAAATAGACTCAGTTAAACACAGCAACATACTTCTGCCTTTTGGATAGATGCTAATTTAGCATTTGTAAAATGCAAGGCCCCAGCAGAGCTGGAACAACCTCCCAGCAACAGCCTAAGAGGGCTCCTGCTGGGCAGCCTTTCTCTCCAACAGAGCTGTCAGCACTGGCTCAGATATCATTGATATTAACTCCAGCACGGCACTGCTGGGACACAATGCCGGTGAAAAGAGATGAGATCGGGCTTTCAGAGCAGCAGTGTCATCAGTGCCAGCCTACGGTGATGTCTCTGTGGAAGCGCAGAGCACTAATGCCAGAAATGGGACCAATAAATAGCAATGCAGGGAAACAAGTCAACATTCCTTCGTACATTAGTGTGCTCTTCTGCCTCTGCCCCCCAGACCTATAGGATCAGCCTTGCAATGACACAAAAGCCTCTGTTGTAATAGTGTTTGGATTTCAGTTGATCAGTAGACATGGTGAAATTTGACAGTAAGATGCAACAGCAATAGCTCTTAATGCTATACATATATGCATGTGTATATATATAGACTACATATTGGTACAATACAACTCCAAGAATCAATGGCCTAATGTAGCCATTTTTAAGTGACAGGGTTAACCTTGAAATATTAATGCATAAACTATTTATTCTCCTCCAAACCATAGAAGTTACAAAGAATATTCTCTCTCCTTCCCGCACACCTTTGTGATAAGACAATTTTATTTCTTTAACTTAGGTGAATTAGTGGACTCTCCATCCCAGCTAGGAACGGTTTCTCTCTTTCCTTATTTCAATTAACAGTGATGTGGAATGGAATCACTTTTTTCTCTAGCTTTTCAGAAGGCATTTTCACATATACCCCAGTAGTGAGACATCGTCTTCTCTTTATCTATAAAATATAGGAAGACAGTAAAATAAACAAGTGATCACAGCATTATCATTGACCAGCACATTTTAGAGAAAACTGATGGATGTTCTGCCTTTACTGAGTAGAAGGTATTCTAGATACCTTTCCCTGTCACCCACTTTGTAGAAGATCAATTGAGACCATTTGAGGGAGAATCAGGAGTTACAGAGCCCATGTAGCAAAAAAATGGAGTCCTGACATTCGTTTAGACCTTTGAAGGTGCTTCTGCTGCAGAGTTCAGCACTGAATACTAAAAACTAGGAGTGTTCACACCGGACAATTTCATTTAGCTTCTAGGGACAAGGGCAGACTGAAAAATATGGGACAAGGATACTGTTTGGTTTTAAGCTTTGGCATCAGGTTTATTTCTAACAGACTGTGAGTACTCCAGATCCCATGGAAAGAGGCAACCCAGGCTTACATTTCGCATGCCTTTGTCTGTGTGCAGACATTTCTAGCAGTGAAGTTAAAATGCTGTAAGTTACAATCCCCCCCCATCACAAGGGGGAGCCTCTTTAAATTTGCTTTGCACAGAGGTGAGAAAAGAAAAAAATCAGATCCTGGGATTTTGTATGAATCAGTTGTGAAATCAGAGTACAGATGAAGACTGTTGCCTTTGATCCCAGAAGCATCCAGGACTCCAACCTTTTCTAAGCATCCAAACCTAGGCCAAGGGTCAGTCCAGCTGATGTAAGCTGACTGCTTTCTGGTACTCTGGCAACACAAATGAGCCATAAACAAATCTAAATACTTGCTCCAGCAAGTTCTCTTATTTTGCATTATTGTAACAGCATTGCACTAGTAAAAAGGAGCATCCCAGTGTGTTTGTTCCTAGTGTTCTCCCCTGTTCTCATTTCTTTCTCCTTGTCCTCATCAGACAAAGGGGTGTTATTAGCAGGATGGGGCTGAGTTGATGGGACTTACCGCTTTGCCCACGAGAATGGCTGAGATGATGACACTGTAAAGAAAAAATCCTGAGGCAGTAGCTCCTAATACCCAGAGATATATGGCAGTGTCTGGGCAAGGTTCTGGATCTAAAACATATGATATCACACAAGTCATGTCACACATGAGCCTCATAAGGAAGACCCTAGAGTCAATAAGTCAGCCTCCACACTGCTTTTCGCTAGCATGTGCTATCCCAGGATACTACCAGGAGTGAGCTCTGACTCCCTGCCCACTCAGTCTCCAGTGAAAATAGGCTTTATCTCCAGAAGAACATACACCTTGCTCTCCACTGTTTCTACACTTACATATCTAACTGCCTAGACATACATGAACACATGAATACAAGAAATATATGGTATTTCTTATGCTGTCAAACATCCATACATTGCTAAATACATCACATGGCTATGATTATAAATGCTTTAAGTGTGTGCAGGGACACCTGAAAGGAATAAGAACTAACCATGATTCTCAGAGCTTGAATCAGTGTTCAGCCTCACTTCCAAACAGAACTTTGAAGACTTTTGAGAAATAATAGCAACTCCCTTGACCTGGGAATATCACAGTACTGTAAAGCAGCTTGGCTTACCAATGACATAGAGATGCGTCCCATTTCCCTTGTTCATAAAATAAGGTGGAGGGTACATCCGCTCCATCTTGCAGACGTAAAGACCAGTATCATTAGCTTGCAGGCCAGTGAGGGTGAGGGTCACATTGTTTCGGCTAGGGCTAACATGGCACTGAATGACCTCTTCCACACTGAACATTTTAAACTCCGTTGTATAGGTTGAAGCACAAATTTCAGTGAATCGGTCACCCGTCTGTTTAAGCAGAGTCACTCGAATTTCCTTTGCATTCCCAATGTGCTTGTATTTACACACCAAGCTGGCGACTCCTTGCCTGTTCGCCAACACCATTGCTGGCTGAGTCACTTCCATTACTGTAAGGAAGTAAAGAGCATGATGGTAAGTGAACTGTCAAGAAATGATCTGCAGTCATGTACTTGAAACCTGCACAATAGGAAGGGAGTCCTACCACCTCCTATTATCCATAGGCAATTCCTAGAAATGCTGCTAAATCCTTCCAAAAAAAGGTCTCCCTACACCACAATTAATAGGCACTGCATTCATATACTTAAAAAAAGCTCCAGAAGTGCCTTGATTATTACAAATGATATTATAAATCTCAGCAATTACTTGTTGCTTAAATAGTAATTGGTAATTTGGCCCACTTACTGGAGCAATGACCTGCATGCTTCAGTTGCCCTCAACAAAAACTTTGTAATATACTTAAGAAAGCAAAAAAAATAGAGTTCGTATGGTAAAGCTGAAATTTGAAATTTAAAATTAGGCATTTAAACCCCTATTTCTTCCTGGTACAAATAAGCATATTCACATCTAGAAACAAGCAGGTTGACATCCTGTATGGAACATGGAACAGAACCATTAGATTAACAGTAAAACTGAACGGAAAACCTGTTTGCATATTTTTGTTTCTGATCTTTTTGCTCCTCATTTTTAACCAGCTATTCCCAAGCCACAGTACTGCAACACACAGCCAAATCTGATAAATATACTGCAAAAAATCATTACAAATCTTAAAGGGAAACTAGTGTACCATGTACATCCCCACTGGCTGCTTTTTACAACTTCTGTACTCTATCCTGCTACACAATGGGAAGACACTGACTTTTGCTTTAATAAGCTCTGAAGACTCAGTATTATTTGTTCATTTCATTTTATATCAGTCCATTTTGGGGCAGGGCTTATCTTCTTCAGTTCTGCAGTGCAAGAATTTGGGATGAAGAGGAATAGAATTTCTTCATCAATTCAAACCTCTATATCCACATTATCAGCTGCCAACAACTCACAAGGCCTGGTTTGTCAAAATCTTTCTTCCTTCTTGAGCTACTCTGAATCCTGCCCAGCCTCTCTACAGATGCTACTGCTCTAAAGTATGTGTCTGGTTTTCCAAATAGCTTGTGGTTGGCCAAGACCTTGTTCCCAGACTGTCCTATGGAGGGATCCCATGTCATTTCCCTCTCCCTGTTGTACCCAGTCTATCTCCTGCAGAGATGTGAAACCGAGAAGATGTAGTCACCCCCAGCTACCTTGCCTCCTTCATCTACCCACCTGCAGCAGTGGCAGTGGCTGTGCAGAGAAGGCCCACGGTGACCAATATTGAGAACATTCCTGCGCTGGGACAGATGCTGAAGGGGCTGAAGGTGGCTGATGTCTTCAGAGTTTAAGACAAACTGGAAGTCTCAGGACTGGAAAAAAGGCGACACCTTTCAGGATACTGAATCTTCGAAATGTTTGAACCCACACAGAGTCAGTGTGTATATATATAGCTTTGATCCCAGATACTGTACCTGAAAGTAATATGAAGCTTTGTTTTGGTTTTACGAGAAAGGAAGTAGTAGGTTTGATTAGTACGTGCACAGTTAACCTCAAACAGCATGAACAAAACAACTATTCAGCAGATGGAAAATATATATTCAATCTGAAACTGCCATCCATTCTGCTTTAAGAATTGGGGAGGAAACGTAATCATCCAATAGAGCAGTTCAGGCCCTTTGGTGCTGCCAGCTTGCACAATCACAACATTTAATATTTTAGCAATCATCAGGTATTTCCTGCTAGGACAACACACAGAGAACTATACTTCTGCCTAATGTAGCACAGCGAATCAGTGCAAGCTAGCTTTTTTATGGAGGACTTCCCTCCGCCCCCAATTTCTTTGCTTGCTTTAATGTTAGTGCTTTTGATGTTTTAAAATTGCTGCCCCCTTCAAAATACTGATTACACTTGCAATGACTTCAGCTTTTCATATCAGCAAATGTGACTTGAATCATAACCCAGCTTCTTTAGGCTTTCTGGTTTCCAAGAAAAAAAATCTATCTAGGTTTATAGCTAATGACTACCACATCTATATAGTATTTTCCCTACCTATGGACTTTACTATCTATGTACCTTGAGATCAACAGATGAAAAACACTGCAGGAGCTTTGATTATTGCTATCTCTGCTTAGAGCACCTGTGTAATTTCAAATCTCAGTGAAACAGTTTTCACCCACTGGCCTTTCAAAAGTCTTGTAAGGTCTGAAAATCATTTTGCTGTTTTATGTGATTGACTGTCATATCCCTGAATCATTGCCTAAAGAATTTCATAAAAATTAAGTTACACTTCAGTTACACTGAAGGTCATGATTCTTTTTTTCCCTCCACTTTGAGAAGTTCTTCTAGAAGATGCTTCATCATTTATATATGCAGATCTAGTAGATTGCAAAGACCTACTTTTGGACCATGACCTAGAAAAACTAACAGCATTAGCTCTTGAACAGTAGCCTCCCCAGTCCAAAGATATGGGATAAATATTTGATCTTGAAATCACATAAATACCTAATGATATAAATAAATTTACTGCTTACCTACTTAGGTGATGAAACAATTGTTTGTAATGACAGATTCATGGTCGGTTTGATTTTAACCAGCATTCAAAACAGAACTGATGATAAATAAAAATATGGCTATGGGAAAATGAAAAATTGCACCCTAATGAGTCAGGCCCATATTGTATTACTGGTTAGACAAGCTTAAATCAATTTTAATATTAAATTTAGTATTAAATAAATGGTATTGCAACATCGTGTATCAGAATATCAGTGAGATTTATGGCATGAAATTATGAGGTTATGCCTGACATTTTCATATCCAGAGTAGTAACCAAATTACCTGTCCTATGTATCTTTTGGGCTTGAGTTTTGTATGCAGTTAAACATGATGCATTTGAACCTCATCAACCATAACATCTCCTGATAATTGATCGAGACTGCAAATTGATGGTGCAATTAACCACTAAACACTTGCAAAGGATTGCCATATAAAACTCAGTGCTGCCTGCCCCACATATCCACAGTATCTTAGACAGCTAGCGTGAGAAGTAGCACTCTGGTGCTCCTCTCTCTGGCAATTGAGACTGTTCTGGCAAACTTCTGTTTCTAGTGGTACTCATCTTGTTTCCTGGCTGGTTTGTTTTCAGGGTGCCTTTTCACACTGACCACTTTTTACTTTTTACCTTGTTCCTCCTTAAAAACCTCATGTTACAATGACAGATCTTCTATGTAAGGCACAATATGTCTCCCTGTGGAGTCTCTTGAAGTTGTCTCTGTCTTCACAGCCAGAGCAGCCTCAGCTGAGCCCAGGGTATCCTCCTTCCAATGGATAGAGACCACTTTGCTATGGTGCCCTCTATCCTTGCTCATCAGACTTTGGATCTTGAGTTAACGTAGGCAGATAGCAGATGGATGATGCAGTAAAATAGAGATCTTGTTCCAAATAAGATCTCTCCTTCACTGCTCCCACCCTTCCCAGTTCAGTTATGGCATGGAACAAGGTATTGGTAACTGTATGTGTTGCACCCTAAAATAAGATCCACAAGAATCACTGGGGATGCCTTTTCTCTCTTTTCTGCCCCTCTTCTAACTACTCTTCAGCTGATGAAGAGGCTCTGGACTTCTGCTTGGTCCACCTTTCCTATATAGCAATGCTGCATAGGAAAGCATCACAGCCATGCTTTGTGGGCTACAGCCATAGGACCTATCTTACCTAGTTACTGCACCTTCTTGTCTGTGTAGTCTGGTATCTTCCTACCTTGACTTCCTCATCTTGAGAACTTTTTTCCTTCCATCCTTTCCCCATAACTGGAAGCTGAAACATAGCCTAGGGCAAGGGAATGGGTGAAAGAGCCCTCCCTATGACTTTGAGACTCAGAAGGTCTTTCAGGAAGGATATTCCCCAGGCTGCCTCCAACAGCCTGTGCTTTACACTTGCTGTGTCCAAAAGCTCAGTGTAAGATAAATCTTTCCTTTAAATGCATGTACTTATAGTATTCTTTGGTTTTAGGGGTGATATTAATCCCTAGGTCACAGGAAACCTTTATAGTCTCCATATGCTACCATAGCAAAGTGTCAGAGCAGGGGAGGGGACTGAGGGCCTTGCAGAGCTAAGCTGTAGAGCCTTAAACTGAGGAAACAGCTTAGGAGTGGTTTGGGTCTCGGCCTCTTTGAACCTAGCTCAAAGAGGGACACGTAATTTACACTGAACACTGGACTACACTACTGTGATTAGTCAGATTGCTAGTAAGTTAAATAACTAGGTTTCTCATGTAAGTTTCTTTCTCATTTTGGGTTAGTTGCTCACATTTTAGTGATTTGAATTGCTTTTCTTCATTGAATGCATGTTGGGGCAAATCTTCTGGCTGACACCCTGTTAGAATTCCCATTGCGAAATGTTATTATTCACGCAATTATTTTCACAGTTTAAAGCCTGTCTCATGCTGCCCATGTTTTTTTCTTCTATGACAGGAACTTGCTTGGTGAATTGCTTGAGATGTAATGGGGAGAAGAGAAGCTTATCATTTGCATAAGTATCTGGTTTCAGGATATTTTTTAAACTCAGAATGTGAGATCATGTCTTATTATGTTAAACAGTTCACGTTTTTATCATGTTAGTTTGCCACAAACCTATTGGGGTTTTGAAATGCACTGTCATTTGAAAAAAAAATCCAGACCTCTAAGTGGTATGGCTGAAGAAAAAGTCTTTTCTACAAAACAATAGGTAAAGAGAAAAGGAAATAACACAGTGACTGGAAAAATATTGTTTCATTACCATTAAAGGACTAAAACCTGATTAGTGTAAGTAAAGGCCTAGATATGACCAAGTTTGGTGGATCAGTCTTGGTTCCTGATGGAACCACAATTCACATCATAAAACCACTGATTTTTGTGTCTGAGAAATGTGGCCTGTCAGCTTTTCTAACCTGGCTTTGCAGATGCTGCTTTCTAGTCCTGAGCCTGTGCCCTCAGTCCAACCTCAGAAGAGCAAGGACAGCACTAGCTAAGGAATTCTCTTTCTGCTATTTCTCAGGGCACACGGGGCTGGTCTTCGTGTGCACTTCTGCTCACCAGCAGATTGTCCACAAGGATATGAGGTGTGGGTGGATGTGTGAGTGTCCTTTTTCTTTGTGCTACCATTGTTGGCATTTCTTTTTTAGAGTCTAGGCTTTGTTTCCCCTACTGTAAAGTTAATTATATCCAACAGGCTTTCCTGAAATTCAGGGCATCTACAGTTATCTAACACAGAAGGAAAATTGTCTCCCAGCTTTTCTTGCTAACAGTTCTCAGTTAGCCTTGAAGGTCTGCATTTTACCCCTTACCTGGCTGGGTTTGCTACATGTTATTTGTAATAGTCCATAGGTGCCCCAATAGCAACCAGGACCCCTGCCCATGTGAATGTATTACCTCCTCTTCAAGCCCCATGCAGCTTACAGTCAAAATGTAAGATCTGAGAGACTGTATGGAAAGAGATACAGACAGAATAAGAGGAAATAAAGAGACAGTACTGAGAAGCAACACAGACAAAAGGTCTTTACACACCAGCTTCCCTACTCTTCCCCAGTTTCCTGTAAGGGACTGTGGCAAGGGAGAGACTTTAGGAGGAATTTGAACACAGACCTTGAAGTATCTTGGCAGATGTTTAAGGACTTACCTTTAAGGAAGGAACTTTCCAAAGCAGAGCACCAAAAATCTCTTGTTAATAGGCTGATCACTTGGGAGTGAACACAGAATAAAGCAGCCACCTTCATCCCAGAGGGAACACTGAAAGCTACTCTGTTTTCATGAATAAGCAAAAAAGAAGCAAAGGAACCCCCCCAAGTTTAGAAATAAGCAGTTAAGTATACCTTGTGATAAGTTGCAGCTGTGGAGACATGGAGAAATACTGGAGAAAGGTTTTACTTCTGCTTTCCTTTATTTCTTAAAGCATTGCAAAAAGGAAAACCAGCAAAAGGTAGCTGTATTTCTGATAGCCTCTGGCTCTGACAGTAGTTTGCATTTAACAAGGGACACAAGAATAAATCATTATAAAGCTTTGCTGAAGACATGTGAAGAGTGTTGTTCTCCTCAAAAACGAGATGCGTAAGAAACATTTTTAAAGGGTACAGACAAGGTGTGTAACACATGTGTGGTATATAGCTTAAGAGCCTACCTCCATTTTCACAGGGCTAATTAATTCCCTGGCTTGTGTGGCAAGGTTTTGGTAGTGGGAGGGCTACAGGGGTGGCTTCTGTGAGAAGCTGCTAGAAGCTTCCCCCATGTCTGATAGAGCCAATGCCAGCTGGCTCCAGCATGGATCCACCACTGGCCAAGGCCACGCCCATCAGCCATAGCAGTAGCACCTTTGTGGTGACATATTTAAGAAGAGGAAAAAAACTGCCAAGAGCAATTGCAGCCGGAGAGAGGAGTGAGAAGATGTGAGA